AACAACACGCATGCCCACCAACTCCTAATAGATATGTGATTACAGAGATTAGCCATTTAAAACTGGAGTCCATCTATTTCCTTCCACTAATCCAATTTAGGGTGGCAGGGGGCGTCTGGAGCCTATCTCAGCTGTCATAAAGCGAGAAGCAGGCTACTCCCTGGACAAGAGGCCAACATTCACATGGAGAATCACCAGTTAACCTAAAGCCATGCATGTCTTTGGACTGAGAGAAAACCAGAGTGGAGAATCCACACAAGTCTTGGATTCTAACCCAGGACTTGCTGTGAGGCAGCACTCCACCACCCACAGCACTAAAAACCTGATGCAGACAGATCACAGTATCTGCTTTGAAACACGTGTTACAGTGGAAGAGTGTAATAGGGTTCGTTTCACACTTAAGGGCTCCTGAAGTGAAAAAGATCAAACTGATTATGATAATTGTGATGAGACATCCAACTATCAACTACCCATGGACACTTGGCCCTTTTCCCCGCAGTCTTCCTACAGGTTCAGTCCCTGTGGCTAACTTGTTACGGTAATTGCTCGTGATGTAGCATACATTCAGCTGTAATGACTTTATCCGTGGCTTTCTCTTCCAGGCGCTGTGGCCAGCACCGAGGTGAAGATGCGTCTCCAGGAGTTCGTCCTGAATAAGAAGAAGGCGCTGGCCCAGCGTAGCATCAACCAAGGAGGCCTCCCCAACGACGCTCCCTACTGGTACCGGTGAGGAGCATCTGTTGTGGTGTTAGCTTAGCTAGTAATGCACATGATACACTCAACCATAAAGTTTGTTTGACATCAAATCATTCTCCCTCCTGTCAGTGTGCGAGCCGCCACTGATTCTTTGTAATGACTGTAAGCAGCAGAAGACTCCTGAACGCATCTGCAGGTCTGCAGAAGTTTAGGATGGTAATTCTGTCTCTGACAGCAGCTGAATAATGTATTGGATTGTATCTTAATCTGTCAGCGAGCTTCCTCTCCTCCACACCTGCCACACTGTGAGCCCGACTGAAAGATGGATCTAGCAGGGTTATGAAACAAAGATGGCAGCGCACACACACATATGCTCACACACGCACACGTGATAGAGCTGCATATTGGAAGCTGATGATAGGGACCCTCACATCGAAGACCTGGCCTTGGATGGTTATTGTAGCATCTCGGGAGCCTTTTGCAGGTGTGCACACTTGCTGTTTCCTCTTCCTAGATTTGGTGGCCTCCTGTCACATGTTTGTTATTGCCCGTCAGTGACGTTGTAGACAGCGTGCTCAATGCAAGCTAAAGAATTTAATAGGGCTGCACGATGTTGCATAAAATGAGAATCACGATTTTT